TGCTCTGTATCTCCGCATCAAAGTGGACAGCAGTGCCAAGTAGGCAGTGGGTGCCCAGGGGAAAGGTTTTGGGAGGTTGGCTGATAAAACCTAAGAAGTGAATGTTGGTAGAGAAGAAACACATGATGTCACCCTGGTGACATCCAGCCTTTACAGGTTGGGGGAAGGAAGGGGAAAAGCAGCAAAGGAGGCTGGAATAGCGCAGCCACTGGACTCAGGAGGACTAAGAGAGAAAGGGAAGCCTGGTTGAAGAAGGTGTTTTGGGGACAGGGACACAGTCAAATAAAATTACAAAGCTCCAACTTGCTATGGAGTTATGTGCCTGCAGGGCACAGCAGCACTGATGTCCAAGTCTTATGCTTCAAATTTAGTTAAAATCTGATGATTCAAATGTCTCTAAGAAAACCAATGTCCAAATAAATATTTTCCCTCCAATAATTCAGTGACACCTATAATTCTTAGCTCACATATTATTGGCATACTATCAAGTTGAAATGGTTTACCGAGAAAACTCTTATTTATTTTTTTAAAGATTATTTATTTATCTGACAGAGAGAGAGACAGCAAGAGAGGGAACACAAGCAAGGGGAGTGGGAGAAGGAGAAGCAGGCTTCCTGCTGAGCAGGGAGCCCGATGCGGGGCTCGATCCCAGGACCCTGGGATCATGGCCTGAGCCGAAGGCAGACGCTTAATGACTGAGCCACCCAGGCGCCCCAAGAAAACTCTAATTTAATACTATTGAATAAACGGCACTTTTGCCTGGCAACAGTGGTCGTACTTGAAGTATCAATTACATCAGGAAGACATTCTGTTTCAGCTCCATCATTGAATTTTATTTTGAACTCTAATGTCATGCTAATACTTTAAATTTTAAGATTAGCTTGACTTATGAATGGTAAAAAAATCTAACATACATAAAGTACCTTTTCTTTCTTCTTTTACTTTTTTTTTTTTTTGCTGTCTCAAGATCATAGTCACAAATACATGGACTTTTCCTTCCTCTTCCTTACAGAAGAGGAGCAAGGTCTTTTGGTCCAGAGGAATAGGCTCTTTTGCAGATTTTGAGGAGACTCGGGCCTTTGGCTTGGAAAGATCCAGCTTGAATTAGTTTTCTTGGTGGAGCCTCCAGTGAGGAAAGGAAGGCTCTGGAACTGCAGAGATGGAAACTGGCACATTGGTCATGGGTGTGGGTAGGTTGACCAGTTGTCCTAGTTCACCGGGGCTGAAAGTGGTTCCTAGAACATGGGAGTGTCTGTTTTATAATCTGACTGAAGGGTTTCAGGAAACTTCTTTCCTAAAGTCAGACAAGTCCTGGACAAAATCTGATAAGTTAGTAACCCTAGACCTAAGAGTCAACTTTTCATCAAGTTCTCAGAGACACAGAGACTCACGTCCCAGTGCCCCACTCCTACTGGTGTCCTGGAAGTGGCAGACTTTGCCGTGCGGTTCATGGAGCATCTTGGCTGTGGAGATGGCAGGACAACTGTCTGTGTTGCAGCCTGTGGTCCACAGAGCCCATGTGAGACAGATAAGTGTGGCTGCCACTAGCAATGGCACCCAAACAGACCAGGACCATATGGGGAGGCAGGAGTGGAGGTAACAGCCAAGAGCGGAGAGGACCTATTCCTTCCCTACTCACCCTATGGAATAATCCTTGCTTCCCACACACTCCAAAAGAGGGAGGGAGCTCTGTGAAGTCAGCTGACATAGGGCTTCTCATCTACCTTAATGCATGGGAGCTTGAACTAGATATAATTTCACTTAGAAAAATGAGAACTGGGATTTGTGTTAATAACGGAGCGAGTGGAACACACTCTTGACCATTTCATATGCTTACCAATGTTGGTTATAGAATTGTATTATTCAGGATCCAACACAAAACATGTGGCACACTTCCAATAGGATTATTTGAGAGGGTTTCTTTAAAAGGTTAATCCCAGGTAGAAGCGTGGTTATAGGGAATTGGTTCTGCCTGAGGGACATAGCCAACCCGGGGAAACCAGCAGGGAGGGAACAGGGTGTATGGGAACCATGACCCCACTCTGCGCCCTGTATCTCTCATGTCCCGCCAGAGCTCCCCATTGGATGAATCCAAACAGTACAGAAGACCTAGTTCACTTCTAGGATCAGAAAGTAGCTTTGAGAAATGGTAGAGAATAATCTAAAAAGGCAAAGGGAGAAAGTACAACACAGAATATAGAGTTTTAGAAATGCAAATGTCCTTAGAAATTGGTGCAATATCTTCAATTCACAAATAAAGCAATAAGGGCAGAGATAGGAGGTCAGTCACAAATCTTTAGAGGTTAAGATAGAAACCCACATTTCCTTACTCAGGGTCCAGGATAAACTCTTTTTTTAAAAAGATTTTATTTATTTATTTATGAGAGAGAGAGAGAGAGGTTTTGGGAGGTTGGCAGCATGAGAGAGGAGAGGGTCAGAGAGAGAAGCAGGCTCCCCGCTGAGCCGGGAGCATGATGTGGGACTCAATCCCAGGACTCTAGGATCATGACCTGAGCAGAAGGCAGTCGCTTAACCAACTGAGCCACCCAGGCACCCAGGATAAACTTTTCTAAATTATGCCAAAGTTTTTATATCTTTCCCCCCCTTTTTATAGAGTTTTAAAGACAACCTTGCAGAAACCCATTCACAAAAGAGCCTCAGAGTCAGCAGTATATTTTTGCCCCTAACATGGAATTTTCCAAAGCATACCAGACTCACGGACTTATTAGCTAGAAATGGGGAGGGAAAGATCTTGTGCAAGTTCTTGTCAAACCATATGAAATTGCCAATTGTGAAACATTTTTATCTACAAAGATGACAATTTCACATGGTTCGAACTAGAACATTTGAAATACCGAATTAAAAAAAAATAAGCTAAGCAAGTTTCATTTCTGTAGGAATTTTAATGGATATATTCATGTTGATCACTTCCTAAATATCAAGGTATTAATCATATGAGGAGAATCAAAATATCTATGATTCTCAAATAAGTGTAATAAAGGGCCTTTAAAAAAAAAAGTAGGAAGTTGTCTTTTGAAGAGAGGGAAATCATGAAGGAACATAGAAAAATAAGTGGTTTCTGGGTTCTGTAAGAATTTAAGAAAGGGAAAATTTTTAAAAGGACAGTAACAAAACTATACACCCCGTTACCCTACAATCCAGCAATCATGCTCCTTGGTATTTGACCAAAAGAACTGAAAACTTACATCCACACAAAATCTTGCACAAGAATGTTTATAGCAGCTTTATTCACAGTTGCTAAAACCTGTAAGTAACCAAGATGCCCTTCAGTAGGTGAATGGATAAATAAACTGTGGTCCATCTGGACAATGAAATATTTTCCATCACTAAAAAGAAATGAGTTATCCATTGCTAAAAAAGAGGTGAAAAGACAGGGAGGAACCTTAAATGCATATCACCGAGTAAAAGAAGCCAGTCTGAAAAAGCTACATACTAATGACTTCAGCTCTATGACATTCTGAGAAAAGCAGAACTCTGGAGACAGTAAGTGGATCTGTGATTGCCAGGGGTTGAGGGTACAGGGGAGGGATGAATAGTCAAAACATAGAGGATTTTTAGGCAGTGAAACTACTTGTATGATACTATAATGGTGGACACATGTCATTATACATTTTTCCAAACCCACAGGATGTCAACTGCCAAGAGTGGACCCCAATGTGAACTATGGCTCTGGGTGATGATGTCATGTCACCATCAATTATAGCAAATGCACCATCTGGTGGGGAAGCTGATAGTGGGGGATGCTGTGCGTGGGGGGGAGGGCAGATGGGAAATCTCTATGCCTTCCTTTCAATTTTGCTGTGAACCTAAACCTGCTCTAAATACTAATCTATTAAAAATAAATAAATAAAGGCCAGGAAAGGATATAATAAGTAGAAGAGAGAAACAAACACAACCTCATAGTGTTGCCAACTTTTTTGTTTTGCCAAATAAGGACAGTAAATCAGGACATTTACCAGGACAGTAAATTTACCAGGACAGTAAATCACATATCTGCTATCTACTCACCACCATTTCTGAAGATAAAAAGAGCAAAAATCTTGGAATAAAGGGATGTTTTCCCCCAAACCGAGTTAGCTGGAACAAACTCATCTCAAATATTGTTACCATAGACCAGTGAAAAATTTAGCACATGTTTGAAAATTACTGCGCTGGAAGCACAATGAAACCAGAGATAAAAAATTGTGCAGATGATAATCTCATTTTTATTAGCAACCCTTTAAAGCATTAAACTGCACTAAGTCCATTTTCTTATGTAAATCCTAAATACGGCTCATGTGCAAATTCCACTTGTTTTATGACCATGGCTGACCCTGCGCACCACCGAATTATATGACATCTCTATATGGTGCAATGTGAAGGGTACTCAGAGGATGAGCTCCCACAAAATATCTCCACTCCTTCCTTCTCAGGAAACTGCTCATTAAAAAATGGGCCAGACAGCAAAGGTGGAACCTCTCCTTCAGGGGGTAAGAGCTCCACTGTGCAAATGAGGGGTCCTGTGGGGATTACTCCATCATATGAACTACTTGAAACCTTGGCCCAAAGGAGGGGGAAATGCAGGGCACGTCTCTGCAGGGTAGCTGATGGTAGACATTCCGTGTGGCTGATAAGCAGCTCCATTACACGAAGACTTCATAGCACAGAGTGGGGTAATTAGGGGGCCTGGCGATGGTGCAGGTTTGCGGGGGCACTGGAGACAAACTTCACATTCAGGTAGAGACCCACATCTGTCTTGGTCCCACATTTTGCTAGTTAACTGAAGCCTTTAAAATTAAACGTCTATGTTTTCATATAACCAAGGAGATGCATTATCTCACCCTACCTGATCACTGACAGCATGTCCGAAAACGAAACTTTCTCTTGATCTGCATTTTCCGAATGTCACATTATGCCCAAAAGAAATGACCTCCATGAAGGGAGAGGCCTAAGAACACACAGGTGCCCAGCAGACAAACGAGACCACAGCCGCCACCTACTTGAGAACTGAATGGAGAAGCCCGACTTGCTGATGAAGAAGTCACTGTCGAACTGCAGGGTGAGGGAGCTGAACGTGCTGTGGATGTCCTCGGGGAGCATGGAGCCGCTCCACTCCTTGAGCAGGATGTCGCTGTCCACCGGGCCGTCCCACACCTTCAGGATGTCGTGGGCCGTCTCTGTGTCGAACACGATGAAGTGCAGGCTGTGGGAGAGAGCACAGTTTGTATGCTTACTCACAAGAGGGCTCCCCACGCCACCAGAGCACCCTGAGCACAAACGTGAATGCTCACGCCCTCCTGGCGTCCGTCCAAACCCCACCGAAACGTGCCTTGTGCTACCTGCCAAAGAGGGAGGAGGCGATCAAGCCTCTGAGACACACCTTCCCTGGTGCAAGTGAGAATTACTGCTGCCTGTGCAGGACACAGAGCCTGCCGAGCTCTGTGCTGAGCTATGTATTTAGGGACCCAAACAATTCCTTTTGAGATTGCCGGTTCTTTCTATAATTCAAAGCTTTCTCAGGCTCCCAAACCAAAGGTGAGTTTCGCATCACTTTGTTTTAAGCCAATCCAAGTCCGATTTTTATGTGGGGTCCATGTGGTTCTCGAAGTGCCCCACTAGGTGGCAGCATGCGTGCCAAGAGAAAGAGACTTGCAAAGGCGGTGTCCAGCACAAGGATCTGGTACCTGAACCCTCTGATCTTAGGCTGTGTTTCTTTCTAACAAGTTTATTTTCAGAAAGATACATTATTTGGAATACCAACACAAAGGCAGAAATGTGTCATATAAACTCCTTTCTTGGTAACATTTTAATAGACTTCTATCAGATTCAGAGACCCTTTCCAGAGTGACGTAAACGTCTCTGTGTCTGGAAAGCTCGCTCTTAGCGTCGGAGGCGCGGCTGGGGTGTGGGGGACCTCGCAGATGCGCGGAAAATCTCAGCTAACATGCCAGCCCAGACCAGCATTCCCTCACCGCCTCGCTTTCTAGTGTCTCCTCCACTGCTTACTGCACAAAATCGTCAGGGAAATGATAAAAATCATAATAAATGGCATAAGAAAAACGGGACATGGATCCCGATAATTTCTTCTGCACATACTATGTATTCAAAGAAAGTACCTATCTCACCTTGCAGAAAGTATGAGCTGTGCGGCCTATTTTTAAAACGTTTCACATGAAATATTTTTCATACAGAGAAAAGTACAGGAGATGGCCCTCTATGCCCACCCCCCCCCCACGCTCACGGGCGGCCCCACGTGCTTCGGATCTTTGAAAATAAAACCTTATAGATACAGCCTCACCACCCTTCCTTCCTCTTATTCATCTGTTCTTACTCTCAATCCACGTTCTGAAATGTTCACGGATCGTGTTCCCATTTACATTTCTGTAATTTTCATTGCCGTCTGCATATATATCCCCAGGCAATATATAGACCTAATTTGTACATTTAACACTACTTGCATAAGAGATATCATTTTGGCATTGTCTGCGCTCCTACCTTGTTCAAGTTGCTTTTTACATTCAGCATTACGTGAAAGCCCTTTCTCTATCCTCAAAAATGTAGGTCTTGTTACTTCACTTTAAAAGCATAAAGTAAATGCTTTATTTTTCTAGTCCTCCACTATAAAGTAGTTTGCTTCTGCATTTTATTTTTTGTAGGTTTGTGTGTGTGTGTGTGTTTATTTATTTTTGTCAAAGTACAGTGGACACGCAGCGTCACATTAGTTTCGGGCATACAACACAGTAATTCAACAAGTCTATACTTTATGCTGTGCTCGCCACAACAGTAGTCCCATTTGCACATCTTAGTCACGGTAATGGTGCTGCAGGAAGCAGCCCTGTGGACTCACCCGGGGTCTTTCTAGGCTCAGAAAGGATCTGCAAGCTGTTCTGCCCAGCGACTGTAGGTACTTAGTCTCACAATAATGGACACATACCCATGTTCTATCACATCTTTACCAATACCTGACATTATCTGACTCTAGGGGCTAGAAAATAGAAGACCTGATGGTGGAGGAATAGTATCCTGTGCAAATTGCATTTCCCTGATTTCTCATGAGGTAGAACATATTTTTGTGTCTCTAAGGTGTCCCTCCTTCCACCTCGTTCAGCATTTCAACAAGTATGTACACCAGCTGTGTACCCAGCACTCTTCCAGAGATTTTGGATACATCAGAGAATGAACTGCAGAACCTGCCCTCAGGGCGCTGACGTGGTAATGGGAGGACCCAGGTGATAACCCGCAACCATTACTCCTCCCAGGACGGAGAAAGACTGTGTGTTAGTGGGTGGGAAATGCAAGTGGAGAAAGAAGAAGGAGAAGGAGAAGCAGAACCAGGAGCACTGGTTGTGCCATCCGGGGCAGGTGGGAAGGACTGAAGTAGTCAATGCGGTGGCTAGGTTAAGCCATGTTGTATGGCCAGGCTTGAGCAGAGGCTCGCAGGCGGCAGGGAGGTTTGCCCTCTTGCATGTGAGGGATGCGTGAAGCCAAGCAAACATCATGGAGGATGTGCCTTCAGCTCTGGGGAACATCCAGGCACCCAGGGTAACCAGAGCAGAGAGAAGGACTAAGCAGTAAGAGTTCAGATGAGGGAAATAGTGGGCAGGAGGCTATGGGGAGATGGGGCACAACAGTTAGCACTTTAGAAACTGTTTTGAAGATTTTGGCTTTACACTGGGTGACACACCAGTGGAGCATTTTCAGTGAAGCAACGATCTCACCTACGATTTAAAACATTTACTCCACCTGCTGTTGACAGCAGACTGTAGAGGAAAATGATGAATCAAGAGTAATCAAGGCAAGACGCATGCTGCTCAGAGGAGCTTGACGGTGGAGGTATTGAGTGGTGGTCCAATTCTGGGTACATTCTGAAGGTAGAACCCAGAGTGGATGAGGCACGTATTGGAAAGAGAGAAAGCAAAGCCACTCCAAGTTTCCTTCTTAGGAAACTACAAAGGCAGAGTTACCACCAACTGAGCTGAGAAAAAAATAGGTGGGGAAGGTTTGTGGGACAGGGAAAACCAGACGAGGGGTTTGTGCATGTTGGGTTCAAGGTGGGTAATGGACACTGAGTAGAGACGGTCAGGGGAGAGTCGTTCATATGAACCGGGAGTTTTGAAGAGAAGTCTGGATGGAAATAATAAACATGTTATATGTTTAATAATAAACCACAGCACATAATGGCTGTTATACCACGGGACTAGATGTCGAAGGTCATAGGTGAAGAAAAGGAGAGACATGGACTTTGAATTACCTGATTACATAGGTTTTCCCACATTTGCAATGTGCTGTCTCTTTTGTCATTGTTTTATGTTATATATTATATTATATTATATTATTATATTATATTCCATTATATTTTTTGCTGAAAGATTTCATTACAACCCTTTATCATTTTAAGAAAAATTGCTGCTGCTTACCATGGTAGGAGGGTTTCTGTTTTACTTTGCTATGTAGTTGATCATGAAAAAGTATTAAATTCCAGGGGCGCCTGGGTGGCTCAGCTGGTTAAGCATCTGCCTTCAGCTCAGGTCATGATCCCAGGGTCCTGGGATGGAGTCTGGTGTTGGGCTCCCTGCTCTGCAGGAAGCCTGCTTCTCCCTCTCCCTCTGCCCTTCTGCCCTGCTTGTGCTCTCTCTCTCTCTCTCTCTTGCTCACTCTCTATCTCAAATAAATAAAATATTTTTAAAAAATTAAAAATATTAAATTTTGTTAAATTATTTTTTCTACACCTATTTATAAGGCCATAGATTTATTTATTTTTTTAACAGGATGAATTACAGAGTTCAGCTCTTAATTTTTATTTCTTGTACTTTGCTTGGCTTTTGACATCAAGGCTATTTTAGCCTCATTAAATGAATCAAACTGTTGTCTTATTTTTTCTCTTTTGACTGGAAGATTTTTCTAATATACTGATATAATTAATCTATTATTTTCTTAAATTCTAAAAACTCATCTCTACCATGTGTGTATATTTTTATTTCCATTCCTAATGTTAATTATTTGGGCCTCCTGTATTTTATCTTAATAAATCACTTCAGTTATTGGTCTACTCAATGATACCATTTCAAAAGCCAGTTTGTGGGTTTGTTAATTCTCTCTACTGTTTCCTTCATTAATTTCTTTCACATTACTTATTGTTTTTCCATTTCTACTTCTTTGAATTTACTCTGATACTATTTTGCAACTGCCATTAGCTAGAAACTTAACTTGATTTTTAGGTTCTCCTATTTTTCTGATATGTGCATGCAGGGCTATAAATTAAGTTTGAAGTTATTATGTATTTTTTTTAATTTTCAAAATGGAGCGTGTGTTTTCTTACTGAAGAGGAACAGAATCTGCCAACCCCAAATATACCATATTGGAGTATTGATTATTTTGAATTAAAGTTACTTAAGAAACAGCTGATGCAAGAGGGACACTCTGACACCCCCTTGTCACCCTGGAGGCAGGAGATAAACGTCCTCTGTGAATTGTACCCTCCTGTACCAGGAAGAGAGACACCCTTACCACCAGGGAGAGGGACTTGAGGGCCAAGAAGACTGTGCAACAAAATCTTGTGACTTCCTCACTAATTTATCACCCCAAGTCCAAACTTCTTTGTCTTGTCAATTCTTCAAAAATTTCTTATCTCTTTGTACAAAAACTGTAAAAACTGGCTGTTCTAGTCAGTTCTTTGAGTCTCACAATTTCAGTGGGGTTTCTGTACATATGAATTAAATGTGGTTTTTCTCCTGTTCATCTGCCTTATGTCCGTTTCATTATTAGACCAGCCCAAGGAGCTATAAGGGAAGAAGGGGAGTGTTTTCCTCCCCTACATTACTTTTTTGCTATAGATTTCTATTTCTATCCCATTTTGGTCAGCATACAGGGCATAAAAGAAAGTGATTCTGTATACTTATCTACAGTTTGTTCCTAGTATGTGATCATGTTTATGTTTCATATTTACTTGAACAGAATGTGCAGGTTCTAATTGGAGGTTGAGTATCTTTTAAAAGTAAGTCCAATAATTGCATGGCTCAAATCTTCTATAAGCTTACTAATTTGTTATCTGTTTGATCTAAGGATCATAAAAAGTTATAAGAAGTGTACTGTGCAGTTTCCAATGTCTCCATATAATTCAGTCATGTGTGTATTAAATTATGTTCTTAGCTGAATAAAAGTTCCTAACTGTCATATATTCCTGGTGAATATATACCCCTAAAC